AAACTTGAGTACTGAATGCAAACGAAGTAAGGACAATACACAGCTGATACACATGAACTGCTAATGACGGTAACCAAGGAGACAGATTAGTGCGGGAATCTGAACAAATAAACACCTGTGACAAACCAATACAAACAGAAGGTCCATGAAAACTCAAACTAAACTAAACATAATTGTGACAATTGGATCAGTATTGCCGTGATTATTATCTATCATGTTATATGTTTGGCAACAGTTATTCTAACCCTAATTGATGGAGTGCGTATCCATATTCCAGGATAACAATATCAAGATTCATCAGGCTCAGATTGTGAAAGAATGGTTGGGAGGAGCATGAAGAATCATTTTCACACATGGATTGGCACCTTAAATGAATTGAGTCCAGACCTTAAATTCTTTGAAAGTCTTCTGGATGTGCTGAAGGAGACTTTACAGAGTGCTGGACTTTTGCATTGACAATACAAGTTCTGTGCCAAAAATTGATGCACCTCTTGATGGAAATAAATGGTGTGATGCAGACTTTCAATGAATTTAAATATACCTCACTCCCATCCGGGTCACGGCACCAGTGTAACCCCTCCAGATCTACTCATACTTTTCTAAGGTTCAAACCAGCGTCACCGGCATGGGAAGTGGACAGACTAAGGCCCTGTCCACACGGACACGGGTATTTTTATAACCGTGACATCTTTTACGCGGTTCGGCCGTTCGTCCACACGAAAACGCACTGAAACCGAACATTTTTGAAAACCCCTGCCAGGGTGAGGATTTTCAGAAACGCCGGTTACAGTGTTGTCGTGTAGACAGTGAAACCGGGGTTTTTGCCTTGCGACGTCAGAGTGTGCGGAGTTATCCGCTGTGTTTGACGTCAGATTTGTGCTTCTGATTGGCCAACGTGGCTTTACGGTTAAGGGTTATTTCGCCGCCTGCTGGCGTGGCATGCTCTTGACCGTGCTTGATAGCGTGTTTTTGCGTTTTCATGTAGACGGAGACCGAGCATGTGTGGACGGGATTTTTTTTTTAAAACGCTGTAGGAAAAACTCTGGTTATAAAAATACCCGTGTCCGTGTGGACAAGGCCTAACAAGGACGCTAAAGACCACAGCTTCTAATACAAAAGTGCGCCTCCTGAGGCCAGGGGAGTGGGGTTTACTCGCACTTACTACAGCTAGCCTCTTACACCTCAAAATATAAAAAACAATATTGTATAATTTACACCTGGGGCCTATACCATGAAGCCGGTTTAGGTGGCTAGCCAGCTATGTTTCAGCTTAGTTTCCACCAACCCTGGGCTTTAGGTACTATGAAAGTAGCTCGGCTTTAATCGGTGTTCGTTGCCAATGTTTCCTTACGCTGCACGGCTAACCTGCTCCGAGGCAGGTTAAGTTCTGGATTCGAGATCTCAGACTGAAGTTTGACCAATCAGCTGTGAGCAAAGAAACATATAGGTGACGTAACTAATTCCCAGTGTTTGTTGCAATGGCTTTACATTTTCTTTCAAATCCTGTGGACATCTCAGCGCAAATCGTTAGACGAGCACATCGTAGAGAAAGAGTTTTTAGCCGGACAAAATCCCCTTGCCTTTCCTGATAGTTACTTGTATGAAAGATACAGATTTTCTGCGGAAGGAATATCTTATCTTTGCGAACTTCTTGAGCCGCACATAAATAATTTAACACATCGAATTCATGCACTTACTGTACCATAAATGGTATTGCGTTGCGTTTTTTTTGCAAGTGGTAGCCTACATACTTGCACGATCGGTGATGCACATAATCTAGGGGAAAACACGGTTTGTCGAACTATTCGCAAGGTGGTCCTCGCTTTGCAGGAGTACATTAGTTTAATAGTGTTCCCCAGACATTTATTGACCATGTAATAAGAGAGGGTTTTTATAAAATTGCCGGTAAAATATATTGATAGGGTGACATCACGTTTTTTTTTTCTTTCAAAAAGCAAATTTCACAAATGTACTATATAATACAGTACATGTTAAGCATTATTTTAATCTCATGGTAGGATTCCCTATAGAGTCATTGGAGCAATAGCCTGCACACATGTTGCAATCTCCACTTCTCTAGGAGAACATGAGGCAGATTATGTTAATAGAAAGTCTTTTCACAGCATTAATGTTCAGGTAGAGATTATGTGAACATGTGAAATTATTATTTTCTGTGAGATGAATCTTTAAATTAATAGTAAAATTAACAGATAACAATCTACTTTCCGTGAGTATGTTGTGTCAGCGCTTTGAGGAAAGCTAGTTAAATTTGGTACAGTACAAAACACTGTTAATTTGAATTGGGACAGCAAAACCTACACAATAACCCCCTATCATGACCCTCATGTGTCAGTAAAACCATAGTAAAAGTTAGAGATGATCTTTGGCATCCTAAAGGCACGTTTCAACTGTCTTCGGCGCTTAAGAGTCACCACAGTGGGCATCACAGATCGTGTCTGCATGTGCCATTCTGCACAATATAGCCACCATAGAAAGGAGCCAGAACCACCACAGAAAGCTTCTCCCCGATGAAGAGAAAGAAAGCAATAGAAAGTTGCATTAATAAATATTCATGCTAAAGTGTTACTTGGTTAAATAAGTTCACATGCTGAGATCAGTTTAATCTAGCTGTTGCATTTATTTTTTAAATGTGGAGCCTCCTCAGCTCACAGTCAGGCTCCTTTAGTGTGCAGTCTAGCTCTATAGGCTCCTTTAGTGTGCAGTCTAGCTCTATATGCTCCTTTAGTGTGTAGTCTAGCTCTATAGGCTCCTTTAGTGTGCAGTCTAGCTCTATAGGCTCCTTTAGTGTGCAGTCTAGCCCCATAGGCTCCTTTTGTAAAGGGCCCTGACTGAGTCTGTTTCCACCTGAAACATAATTCCACCACAAACATGATCATTACAAGTTTTTGGGAGGCTAATCAACTCACAAAAAGTTCCTTGAAAGTTCCTTGACAAACACCTGATATATATGTCAAGGGTTTTAAATCCTTACCTTGTTCACATTTCTTTTGAAGCCTGTTGAGGTAGAGGCTTCAGTTTCTGGGACAGGTTGTGAAAAATCCTACAATAAAAGAGATGTGTAACTTGGGCCAGTCCCTGTTTTATGCCACACATTCAAATGTTTGCCTTAATAAAAAGCCCAGTGCATTCACCTCAGCAACTGTCCCAGAACACAGACAGAGTGTCTTCATCATTTCCTCCTCCCTGATAAATAAAAGTAGGCCAATATGTTTCTGGTGTTCTGTCTGCTGCATACTGACCTCTGTGTGGGAGACTGTGTGTGTGTGCTGGCTTCAACAGGGGCACTGCATTTCCCTCGACTGCAGAGACTTACAGTCAGCCATATTTAAAACTTAAAATAGTAATGTATCGCACACGTACCCAGTGTTACTTGCTTCGAGGAGCCGGCACCAGGGTCAGATTGTACAGCACCTGTAATCCCATCCATAATCGGCCGTCCCTTATTCCTATCAGAGCCAACTCAGTGTATTCTGGAGGAGTGGCCCTCCACTGGTTTTCTGAATGTCACTCTTTTTTCGGTTTGCCTCAAACAAGTGTTAATAAAAAAATAATAAAAGGTTGTGTGTAAATACTTACTAGGCTACTTTGAATTATATTTTTATATTTTGTCTTTATCAGCTGCCAAGAACGTTTGGAGTTGCATCTAAAAATCAATGAATATTAATCTTTATTAGTATACATGCACATTTTTTTTATATATTATAAAAATATAGGCTATATTTCACACACACATACATTCATATATATACATCATTTTACATGAATAAAGAATATTTAGCTTACACATTAACACAATCAGCAATCTTTCTCCAACAGTCTTCTCTTGCTTTGGCAGCAGAGACTGTATTGTTTTGAGCTTGTAATACATATTTAAATTCATCGTAATTCTGAATGATTATCTCTATCGCTCTCGCTCTGTCCATTTCGAACGCGATTGGTTGTTCGGTGCCAACGTCACTTTGGTATGTGCAGGCGCTCGTGGAGTAGGCCTAATCATAGCTTAAGATCAAAGCCTGAGTTGACAGAGAAAGTTGATGAGCTGCGTCATGGTACCAATAAAGCCTGATTGCATCGGTTTGGTTTTGTCAACTCAAAACTAATCCTGTAACTCCGAGTTTGTTCAGCTACCTTCATGGTACAGGCCCCTGAAAGGATTGCTCTGCGTGTTTGTTTACACACCACATCAATATTCAATCAAGATCAAAACATGTAAAAGTTTATGGTTACTTTTTCTGGATTTAAAAATAGCTGTGAAAATGAAATTGGTCACTTCTCATGTGAGCTTGTCACTTGTTTACAGCATCTTTTGGACAAACGCAGTGGGACCGAGTTGCTCAATTTCCTGGATAAATGTTGGTAAGTGATGATTTGTGGCCTCACATCTCTTCACATGTGACGCATCTTTCCTCCGATGTTGAACAATCACTTCCATATTACGTATTTTAGGTTTTTCTAAATTATGTTTATGGTGTTCTTTGATCAGCTGAATCCTTGTCATTGTATCAAATAACATTCTAGTGATTCGTTTAAAATTCTAAAATGTTATATTCTTGTCTTTTTACAGTCACACAAAATGTAATAGGAAATAAAACGCATTTAAACTAATAAATAATTTCATTATTTTCATCTTTTTTTTTTTCAATGCACATGCATCACAGAATATATTTTATGACTGTTATTTAAATGTAACAATTTTAAGACTGTCATGTATAAGTAGAAATAACCCCATTAATGTTCCTATTAATATTCACAACCAAAATAATGATTTAAAACTGGGTTTCAGAATTTGTATTAAATGGCCTCATGACTTTGTATCATAAATATTATGATTTTAGTCCACATGATTCTTAGTTTCACTTTTGGTGTTTTGATCATGTTTATGTCAGATTGAACACGAGTGAGGATCTTGTGACCATTCAAATGTCTCAAATTTCCCCCAGCAAACATCTCTTATCTTCTGCTTTCTTGTAGCCACATAAAAGCAACATCACCAAACATCCTAATCTTCTGCATCCCATTCTGATATTGTAGACATAAATGTGAGATCTGCTTGTAAGGGAAAGACTATTCCAGATATGTCATGAATACCGTGAATACGTTTTTGAGAAGAATTGGAGCATCTTAGTTGAGATGGTTCACTTTAGGTAACTTTTAGGACTTAGGCAAACAGGATATATCAACATCCCTCCAAAGAGTATAAAGGAACCTTCAAGCACACAAGTCTAACATATTATACCGGGGATTTTCAAAAAAGAAGTTAAGATGACTGGTAAGTGCCATATGTTAATTGTATCATTAATTTAGAAGTCAATCATTTGAAAATCTGATTATCAAAAGCTTTTAAAGCTTTGACACTTAAGATGTTTAATGAAAAACAGATTTTAAGTGATTTTAAGAAATTGAAGTCAAAATTATGTGAAAAATGAATTTTACTAGTACAAATATTTCCATGTAGACATTCAATTAATATGAGCTAATATAAACAGCATGCAAAAGTATAGCATTACTATTAATATAGTAATAGTTTTAATAATAACAGTAAAATAGTTTAAGATAGCATGTCACATTGCAGAAAAACATTTTAAATGTTAACTGCCCACCCCAAAAAAAAAATCTAATTTAGAATATTTATTAATGTTTTTTTATTTTTTTTATTTATTTGTTTGGTCGTTTGTTTGTTTGTTCTTGTCTTTGAAATGAAAAAAAAAAAATATGTTATAGTGAATTTCATTAAAAAAACTGGTGAAGAAAAAAATCTATGAATGTTTAAGGGTTTTTATTTTTTATTTTTTTTATACTGTACAATCTCAACTGTAAACAGAGAGTTTTTATTTATTTATTTATTTTATTATTACTAATACATTGCTCTTCTACTTGTTCTCTACAGATCCGAACACCTCTTATCTTATGGGGACTATCGAGGACTTCAGTGAATTCTACAATGAAGAGTTCAACTATACAGAATACCAGAACGACACTGAATTTGTTGTGGATGAGAAAACGCTGCTCTGCTCCTCCATCAATATGGTGGATGGCATCAACATAACATTCTGTGTCTTCTACATGCTCATCTTTCTGATGGCTATTCCTGGGAATCTGATCGTAGGCTGGGTCATCGGCTCTAATAGACGTTCGCTTTCTTCTTCAGATGTTTACCTATTCAATCTGATGCTGGCCGACACGTTACTGGCTCTTATTCTGCCCTTTTCGGCGTTTTCCGTGATCCAAGGTTGGGAGTTTGGTGATTTTTTTTGCAAGTTAGTTAGTCTGGTGAAGGAAGTAAACTTCTACACCAGCATCTTGTTTTTGGTGTGCATCAGCGTGGACCGCTACTTGGTCATCGTACGGGCTACGGAGTCCAGGAAGGCTCAGAGGAGACTGTGCAGTGGGGTCACCTGTGGATTGGTGTGGGTTTTGGGCTTTGTGCTGTCCTTGCCATCATTCTACAATGAGGCATTTTATGACAAATTTTCTAATAAGACTATTTGTGCAGAACGCTTCGAGACGGACCACGCTGACGAGTGGCGACTGGCCACACGTATCATCAGGCATCTGCTGGGTTTCCTTCTCCCTCTGGTGGTCATGTTGATCTGCTACAGCGTGACAGTGGTGCGGCTCTTGCGCACACGCGGTTTCCAGAAGCACAGGGCCATGAAGGTGATCGTAGCCGTGGTAGTGGTCTTTCTTCTGTGCTGGACCCCCTTCCATGTTTCCACGATGGTTGACACCCTCATGAGGGCCAAAGTGGTTCACTTCAGCTGTTTCACACGGACATCGGTGGACATCGCCATGTTCGCAACTCAAAACTTTGGGCTTCTGCATTGCTGCGTGAACCCAGTGCTGTACGCCTTTGTGGGTGAGAAGTTCAGAAGAAGGTTTCTGCAGTTGCTCCATAGAAATGGACTTCTGGCTCGGATCTCCGTCTCTAGATCTAGTAGGTCCTCCTCTCTGACCTCAGAAGTCACTTCCAGCTTCTTGTGAGCTACTGCCAGGCAATGGACATCAATGTATGTGAATTGCAAGACACTTAGTGCACCTTTCCATGTTTGCTTGAAATACAACAACACTGTGTTAGAGCAGGGGTGTCCTATTGTGTTCCTGAAGGGCTACTTTCCGTCAAAGTGTAGCTTTAGCTCTAATTCCAAACATCTGAACCAGATAATCTTCAGGACTACTAGAAACTTCCAGGTAGTTGTGTTGGAACTAAACTCTGCAGGAAAGTGGCCCTCCAGGAGCAGGATTGGAGACCCCTGTTCTAGAGGCTAATTGCCATGATGCGTTGGCTCCATCTATTGGTCAAAAAGAGCAAAATCCATGATCCATGAAGTGGTGACATATTTTTGTAGACAAAAACCCAATAGGATTTTTTTCCTTTGGGCTGTTGATGATTACAGAAAATAAGCTTTGTGGCCAACAATACACCCTTTGTTCATCATGATAATCTTCACAAATTCTGAAAAGCTAAAGTTTGGCTATAAATGAAATACACCATGGTCACATGACTTAAACGCCACCACCATTCAGCTTCCGACAACTCTTTAAGGTTACGCTTAAGGAGACTAGATCGCTTTATATGATGAACAGATTTAATTTAGACTTTTATTCACATATAAACATTGATCAGCGGACATAAACTAAAGCTCAACCGAACCTGCGTAACACGAGAATGAACCTCGTCATTGGTACTTGCTGAAGTGTAAACGTGATGCGTAACACGAGAATGAACCTCATTGGTTCTCGCACGTCGAGCGAACATGCTTGAGCTTCCATCTACCACAACTGATGTGGGAGTTGATGAATGTTAATATGTGAATAAAAGCCTAAATTCAATCTGAAGATGAACGAAAGTCTTACGGGTTGATGAACGAAAGATGAACGAAAGTTTTACGGGTTTGGAACAACACGAGTGTGAGTAGGCCTAATTAATGACAACATTTTGGGGTGAAATTTATTTCATTAAAGGTGACCCTTTAATGTCCCCGTAAAAAGCTTTTTAAAAAATCACAAGTTGGCTTTTACTGATGTATTTTGTGTCAAAGATTGAAACGTGAAAATATCTTGAACTTGTGTTCAGCACAGACCTTATTTCAGGCTTTTAACTAAAAACCCATTCAAAAAAACCTATTTGACTTTTGGGACGATGGAACCGGAAGTGCTAAACTGTCTGGAGGATGATAACGCAAGTGAAGAAACCCATTGACTTACATTGAAGGATGGACCCGCGCCACCTGAGAAAGCATAATATCATAAAGACTTAATGGTGATGAACTCTTTTGACTTGACTTGCCAGTAAACACTCGCTATTGCATATACTAGGCCATGGGTTTGGAGAGAGGTTGATGTTAGCGACATTGCTTACACCACAACATACAAAAGCTTTTCATAGTCATGTTTTGCACAAGGCAGCTGGTCTGTACAGTATCTGGTCAGTAAGCAAGATGCTTTTTATTTGAGATTATTGTCCAAAATGCACTTGCTCAAAATGCATTATACTTCTTTTCATAATGCATAATGTTATTTTATTTTCTCCATTAATTGTACAGAATTCTTCATTTCATTCAGGGCATTCTGGAGGGGTATTATATTATTGTACTCATGATGCGTCTGTGGTGCGATGGTTTATCAGCCTTAAATGAATGCAATAATAACAAAACCTCTCCAGGACTTAAAATGGATACTGTTTGTTTTTTTGTGCTCATTTGTAAGTTTTAAAAATAAAAATGCTATGAACACTCTTGTGTCCCTTTAATATAACGTCAGCTCGATCATGTTGCACAATAAACTCAGAAACGGCGATCAGTACATACTTAATTAGGGGTTTATTTTGAGATAATGTCTCAAAAGTGGCTGTTGAGGTAACTTCTGTGTTTTGTGTCATGTGATATGTGACAATGTTCAAACCGTCTATGGTTCAAACATGTGACTTTGTTTGTAGTTACTTTTAGATATGGTTTTGTTAGTTACAGTATAGTTTTTTATTTAATCAACACATTTTTATATTTTTCAGTTTTTAAAGCAGAAGTCATAACTACTTCACTGTAAAAAAAAAAGTTGCTGCCTTAAATTTGTATGTACAATCAACTTGGATGTTTACATCATTTCAACTTAAATTACATTAAACTGACTTAATTTTTTCTTTAATCATGTCATTTTTTACAGTGTTACACATATTAGAGTCACATAATCAGTGTCTTGAATTGGTTTGTTACCTATAATCTTTGTGTATTTGTCTCTTGTCGATTCTTGAGCACAACAGAGAGCAAACAAGATGTGCACTGATTGACAGACAGAACCCAAGCCTAGAGGCTGAGGTGAACATGTTTTAGTAAGGTTTTTATGTAGCATCTTTAACAAGCACTCGTCAAGTTAGACATATTACGATTGGCAAAGTTTACTAACTAGATCATTGGTTCTCAACCTTTTTGACTCCAATTGTCTACAAATTCGAAGCCCCCCTAGCCCTAATTTTTGTTTTCAAAATTTGCACAAGTTCTTAATAAACCGTTTCTTCAAACAAACAGTTGTTGAGGGGGTGAATTAAAATAAGAAATATCTTATTTTAATGAGTCTTTTGTCTTTTTAAAAAATCATTTTAAATCATCTTGAGGCCCATTTGGAAGTTTGCTGAGGCCCTGGTTGAAAATCACTTTCATAGATAAACTTGAAATCATTTTCAGAATCAACAGCCTTTCTTTTATCACAAACCGTATCGCCCGCTGTGGGACGTCTTCTCACAAAAAGTTCAAAAAAATTAAACCGTGTGAAAATGCTAGTTGACTATGGAAACGTGCAGCCATTCTGGTTAATTTATTTTAAGATAAATTCATTTGGTTATTAAATGTTATTTTATTTTATCATCATTTTAATAACCCTGCTCCAATTAGAAAGCGTCAGAGCGACAATTTTAGTAGTGAATGGCCATAATCACTGTAGCAACTGCTATGATTTGTTACATCCCAAAGAAATAATTCCGCTTCTCTAAAAGGGTACAACCAAATTCCCTTAAAGGCAAGGCTGGGGAAACATCAAATTCACCAAAGCTATCCACCAAGCTTATGATTAAATGTCATATTTGAAATCACCAATGCAATCTGACAAAAGAAGTATGTCTGAATTCACAGTAGGCTACTCATAGAAGGCAAAAAGTACCCGGATGACCTACTTCTTCCAGACAGATTCTGAAGTGTGCATAGGATGGACACTTTACTATCCCATGAGGCCACCGGGAGAGGATTTATGAAGGGCAGAGAGGCGACGCAACTGATGGTGGTAGGACATGTGATAATAACAACATGGGGAATATAGTATGTCCAGATTACATTCATACTACACACATTCGTACTATAAAGAATGTACTTTTTTAGTGGACGCAAAGTAATTACTTATACTTATAAAATAAGTACCTACTCAAGAGAGTATGCGATTTCGGACGCAGCCAGTGACAGCAATCAAGCTTCTAAAGGGCAGCTACAATGACACTATTGCTGCGTCTCAATTCACCTATATACTACGCCCTAAAAATATGCACTCTTTTTGTGAAGAAAAAGTACATTTTGATTGTGTAGCGGAAGAGTAGACAAGCTTTGGGACATACTATCACGTCATACAATTGCGTCTTTAACTGTTGCTCTCTGTCTCATCACTGTCACAGTAAACTGGCCTGTCAATCATCTTGTCAAGAATAAAATCCTCCACATTTCATTTCATTACCGTATCAGAGTGAAATGCAGAACCTTGTTGATCTGCAGTCGCGGGTCTTTCGTGTGGAGACTCTCCTCATATTAATGCATAATGATGCATTTAAAAGTTAATGGCCAAACGAATCTTTAGAAATTAGTCACTCAAACCTTTATGTGAACCTCTCACCATCGGTCGTGCACATCCGCCATGTTTTGCATGACCGCAATGGGTTGTGGGCAACATTAGCCTTTAGAGTGTGCACGGATCCACACTTCGAAAATCTACCGGAAAAAGTAGACCATCCGACTTCTGACATACTCCTTTTTAACATACTATGCTGTGGGACGCACGTGTGATCTACAGACGACACGCAAATGAAAAAGGAAGATGGCGCCAGGATGCGTGGCCAGCCGTCTGCCTCGTCTCCTTTTTTTAATGCCAATAACAGTTTTGCTTTGTGGTTTCTGCCAAGTAACCCCTGCTTTATTCGTGTATGATCGCCAAGCACTGTTTAATATCAGATCAGCGTGCTCATCACTGTTAAATCACGAATTTGAAGACAAAAACCACAACTCCCCTCCTCACCTGGCACTTGTGCCTACCTACCTGTGGCGCACGCCAGTGAAATTGAAGAGGAAACGGCCTCGAAGACGCGGAAAGCGAGGTGGAGTACTGGTGAGAATTCGATCACAGTGGAGGTCTGATAACTGGATTAACTCTCATGCCCGAGAAAATGGATACTCGGCGCTTCACAGAGTACCGGGTCTGTGGTGGATTCAGCTCCTAAACCCCAGCAAACTGGACGCCGGAGGCACCGTTGCTCAGGCGCCGCAGGCGCAGCCGCGGTGTGGACCAAGGATGCCTCTGGGAGTTGAAACGCTGCTCTGCACCGGGCCATCAGGAGCAGACTCTCCACTTTGGCCTCCTCAATGCTAGATCCCTCACCAATAAGACGTTCATTCTCAACGACTTCTTTACAACACGCCAGTTGGATATATTTCACCTGTGTGAAACTTGGCTGCACGTCGGTGAGTGCACTCCGTTCTCCGAGCTTACACCCCCGGATTGTTCGTTCTTAAACTCCCGACGTATCACTGGCAGAGGTGGAGGGCTGGCATCAGTTTTCAAGTCAAGTTTTAATTGTAGACAAGTACAAACAAACTCATTTTCAAGCTTCGAATTACAGACATTTGTTTTAAATGCCGACGTTCCAGTTCTGTGTGCTTTAGTCTATCGCCCCCCAAAATTTAATAAGACTTTCATTGAGGACTTTACAGAATTTGTTACAGAACTAACTCTTAGCTATGACCATTTTTTAATAGCCGGGGATCTGAATGTCCATGTGTGCTGTAAGTCGAATCAGTTGGCTAAGGATTTTCTAGATGTGGCTGACTCTTTTAATCTTACTCAATGGGTGGTTGGGGCCTCTCACGAGAAGGGACATACATTGGATATTGTGTTGTCCTTTGGATTAAGTGTAAACATACAGGAAGTCTGCAATTCTGGGATCTCGGATCACTTTGCAGTACTGTTTTCTGTCACATTGCCTGGATCCTTGGATAAACCGTGTGCCCCAGCGCGCCAGGTGCGCACGATAAACAGCCAGACTACCTCGTGCTTTTTATGTGCTTTTGATGGCTCATTGTTTCACATGAGTAACATAGATGATGTAAATGTTGATCAATGGCTCTGTGTTTTTAACTCGATGTGCTCGGACTTGCTGGATGAAATAGCTCCCCTGGGAAGTAAAAAGTCTAAACCAGCATCGGAGCCATGGTTGAATGAAGTCACGCACGCATATAGACGTGCATGTAGACGCGCAGAGAGGAAATGGAAAAAGGACCGTTTGCAAGTTTCCTATGAAATATTAAGAAACAGTCTGGCGGAATACCAGAAAGCTGTTAAAGCTGCAAAAACTCAGTTTTTATCCAATCTTGTTTCCAGTAACAGCCATAAGCCGCAGCTCCTTTTTAAAATGTTAAACTCTCTTTTAAACCCTTGTGATTGTGCTGACGTTGAATCTTCAACTGAATTATGTGACAAATTTCTGTTGTTTTTCCATGAAAAGGTGTGTGCGGTTAGGTCCTCTCTCACACCCTTTGTGTCTGAGCCTCAGATACTCTTTACAAGTGCGGCTGTGTTTGATCACTTTGAGACGGTGTCTCTGTCTTTTTTAACTAAAGTTGTTCAGCAGCTGAGGCCTTCAAACTGTCCACTTGACACTATCCCGTCTCGCCTCTTTAAAGAGGTATTTCCGACACTTGGTCCTTTTATTTTGGACTTTATTAATTCTTCACTGCTGTCCGGCTGTTTCCCGGCTGCTTTCAAACATGCTGTGGTCCAGCCCCTGTTGAAAAAACCAAACCTTGATTCCACAGTGTTATCAAATTTTAACTCCCATTTCTGTCTAAGAAAGTGGAGAAAGTTGTATATGACCAACTATACAGTCCCACCTTGATGAAAATGGAATCACTGAATTATTCCAATCTGGCTTTAAACCCCGGCATAGCACAGAAACAGCCCTCTTAAAAGTTTTAAATGATTTGTTTTTAGCTGCTGATGTAGGCAAATCTACTGTTCTGGTGCTTTTAGATTTAACAGCCGCATTTGACACTGTAGACCATGCCACACTCTTATCTCGCCTAGAGCATTACGCGGGCATTAAGGGTACTGCCCTTCAGTGGTTTAAATCGTTTTTATCTAACAGAAGTTTCTCAGTTCAGCTTGGTGACCAATCTTCTTTCTGATCACTAGATTTCGGCCTGCCTCAGGGAGCAATTTTAAGCCCTGCTTTATTCTCACTGTATATGCTTCCGCTTGGGGCCATTTTTAAGAAACACAATGTGACTTTTCACTGCTTTGCAGATGATATTCAAGTCTACCTCCCACTGAGCACAAATGACTTTACTGCAATTAAAACTTTACAGGACTGTCTTAAGGAGGTGGTATCATGGTTGGACTCAAATTTTTTAAGTCTTAACAAAAACAAAACTGAAATTGTAGTCTTTGGGAAAACAGACTGTCTGCAGGGCTGGGACAGTGCCATCGGCCCACTGGCTTAATTTTCTCGCTCAAGCACAAAAAATTTAGGAGTGATTCTTGACTGTGGTTTTAAATTCGACAAACAGGTCAGTGCAGTGGTAAAAAGCAGCTTTTATCATTTAAGACTACTCAGTAAAATCAAGCCCTATCTCCTCAAGAAAGACCTAGAGAGAGCAGTCCATGCTTTCGTGACATCGCGGCTGGACTACTGTAATTCGCTGTACTGCGGACTCGAACGGCGCTCTCTCCGCCGCCTCCAAGGGGTGCAGAATGCGGCTGCTCGGTTTCTGACAGGGAAAAGAAAAAGGGACCAAATTACCCCTGTGCTGGCCTCACTACACTGGCTGCCTGTATCTTTTAGAGTGCAGTTTAAAATTGTACTAATAGTTTTTAAATGTTTAACTAATACTGCGCCACTTTATCTTTCGGATATGCTGTACCTTTATGCCCCTGCCAGAGCATTAAGGCAGAGACTATTTATATAGAGACATGCCACTTCATCAATCCTTAATACAACTATATAGGGAAAACCCGTAACGCCAAAGATGGCGGTTGTATGCACATGCCCCGCCCCTCCCGCTGGAAAGCCAACCGTCTGCTTTTAACAGTCAAGCCGGGAAACATTTAACCCTATCGTCTGGTTCCACTGACGCATGCGCACAGTTGAGGTTTGCGACAGCGCAAAATACGTTACTGTTTGAAAAGGCGGCAGATTTGATATGCAGTGTATGTGTGAGTTGTGTAATATCAGACATCAGAAGTCTCCCGCAGATTGGTAGCGGCTCCCTGATGCCCGCAAATTAGTTCAAATCTCCCCGAATCTAGAGCGAGCGAGCAAGAGCTCACACACACTGTGCTTCAAACTGTGTAGCGCGCGCACGACCGAGGGAGAGAACCCTTGCGCATGCGTAGTAAAAGTATAACCTGTGGGGAAAAGGCGTTTTAAACCTTATTTTGGGGCAAAGTCATCAAACTTTTTCAGCGATTTTTATCATATTTTACTGCTGTTTCTATAGACCAATTTTCAGTTGGTAAACATGTAAATGTGGCTCAGTGGTTCATGTTGGTTGTCTACAAACCGGAAGGTTGGTGGTTCAATCCTCGGTTCCACCTGACCAAGTGTCGAGGTGTCCATGAGCAAGACACCTAACCCCAGCTGCTCCCGACGAGCTGGATGGCGCCTTGCATGGCTGACACCGCCGTCGGTGTTTGAATGAGTGAGTGAATGGGTGAATGTGAGGCAAATTGTAAAGCGCTTTGGTGGCCATTGGGTCTGTGAAAGCGCTATATAAATGCAGTCCATTTACCATTTTAAAAATAAGCGATAAAAAAAACTTCTTTGTATATCTAAAGTATTTGGTACAACACACAGGGGGTTGTATAATTTTAAAGCTCTTTTTTATTGTTAATTCCTAACCTGAAGTGCAGTTAAGTCTGAAACCAATACAGCTGTGTGTGAATTTGAACCAATGAGATGGGCAGAGCTGCCAGAGAGTCGCGGTCACTACTTGAAAATACTATTAGCGCTTTAATGGCTATGGACACATATGTACCAGTGTATTAGTATTTGTGTATTGTGTGTTTTTTTAATATCACACAAAAGCAAGCCAGAGTCAACATGACCTACTGTGTATCACTAATCGCTAATACATGAACAGTTTTTAAGCTGTTTTTTGTTGTCTTTCTTGTGAAACCGTGGTAGTGATAATATCTCTGCTCAATTTTTTTTTTTGATTATTCATGCAGGAAGGAAAGGGACGTGGCAGTAATAATCAGTTGTTTTCAAACTCATTCTCAGAAAACTGTGAGAAATCAGTCAGTATCTGAGAATTTCCAATGAATGATCCCTAAACCCAAGATTGTCAGCCTTGAAAATCTCAGTAAAATCACAGAAGATAAAACGGTAAGAAAATACAAAATGTACTTTTAATTGGGTTAAAGATTAATGGATGTGTCAGTATGACTTACTGTGAAATATTCCCTTTAAACTGTTGAAGTATACTTTTAGATTTATACATTTAATAAATAACATACAGTGATTCACACATAATGTACAGTAAAAATAGTCTGTGTTTGTTCAGCTTTTAATTGGGTTAAAGATTAATGGATGTGTCAGTATGACACATAAAAAAAGTATACTTTTAGATTTATGCATTTCAAAAGTTTAGACATACCTACTCCTCCTTATTATAAGAATAATTAGTCAAGTCAAAATGTATTTATATTGCGCTTTATATAATACAGATTGTTTCAAAGCAGCTTAAGAAACAAGAAGGTAACGCTTTAGATTACAGCCCGGAAAGTACTGTGTAATTAAGAGGAATTTACAGAGTAACTTTCGGTAATTATAGTGTACCTATAAAGTACTTGCATGTAAGTATAAGGGAACAATATGTAAGTTTGGGGAATAAAGGGGTAACAACCAGGAGAATTAAAAATATATTTATACTGTAAGTATTATAGAACTAAGGGGTACTTATTCTACTATATGATACAACAATCTTACATTTGGGAGCAATTTAGCGAGAACATACACTGCATACCTTTTTGTAATAATTGTGTACCAAAGCATTACAAACTGTATAGGCTTTTTTAAAATGACAGGGTACATATCTATGCATTTATACTTTTATTTTATTTATTTTTTATAGCAAAAGTGCAGATGTTTAAGTTTGGGCTAACATGTTTCAAGGCAAGAAAAGCTAAGACTATTGCAATTTTTCTAAATACTGGGAAATATATTTTGTTTCATGTGGTTACAGGGTAAGTGGTGCTTGTATAATAAATAAAGGTTTCCGAGTCAGTGATATAAGATTGTGTATGCATTTTTATTGTACTTACCCTGTAACTACATGGAACAAGAGGGTAACAAGCACCACTTTAATTTACAGCCCGCAATGTCACACTTACCCTGTAACTACATGGAACAAGGGGGTAACAAGCTACATGAAACAAAGAGTATCTTTCCCCAATATTTAAGCAAAAGTTGCAATAGTTTTCGTTTTCAGTGCACTTTTGTTAAAAAGATTACATTTTAAAAATTACAGGGTAATTATCTATTATATCTATTTATAAAGCCTATACAGTATGTACTGGTTCACCATTATTTCAATAAGGTACGCAGTGTATGTTCTAGCTAAATCGATCACAAATGTAAGATTGCTGCATCATAATAGTAGAATAAGTACCCCTTAGTTCTATAATACTCGCAATATTAATACTTTTTTAATTCTCCTGGTTGTTACCCCTTTATTCCCCAAACTTAAAATATTGTTCCCTTATACTTATATTGTAAGTACGTTATAGGTACACTATAATTACCGAAGGTTACGCTGTAAAATTGCTTTAATTACCCAGTACTTTCCGGGCTGTAATCTAAAGCGTTACCAACAAGAACATAACAGTTAATGTTGAAAATATCTTTAATAATGAAATTTGACAATTTCAGTTGTAAAGCAGGTCTAAAAGACAATAGACATTGACATTGAAGTGTGAAATGTATGTCTATCCCTCACAGCTTTGCTTTCATTCTCGTTCAAAATAAAAGATAGCGCTGCTTTGAAAAAGGTCTATCGTGGGAGTATTCAGCTCAGTTTAATTCAATAACTGTGTGATTACTGCAAAGTCCGTTAGTTATGAAGCAAACTCAATTCAACTATAAAGCAGCTCTACATAACATAATAGTGTCATTATTCAGCAGGGGCGGACTGGGACCAAAAAGTGGCCCTGGACTTTCTGGCCCACAGCAGCCCACCACATCCCAAATCAAAACACATTGGCCCATTATTGTGCAGAATTTTTTTAACACCACTTATAGCATAACAATATAACACAATACAAAAATAAATGCTATTTTTTAAACATTTATTTTAAGTAACACAACATACAGTATATTAGGTCATATTTGTAAAACCAAAGGGAAACAAACAGAAGAACATTAAGACACACAACATTATAAAACTATCAAGACAGCATATCAGCTAGTCAGGGGGTGCTAGAGGCATCAGAGCCTGCTGAACTGCTACTCTTCGCGCCAAATGTATAATCTGTTCATTTGAAGCATTTCACAGCACCTCTATATTCAGCTCAAGTCAGTTTAGTGTTGATTCGGGTTAGTTCAATAATACTAGTACATTAACAAGCTTAATTCGGCTAGAAAACTACACAGTAAGCAATTTTGCGTTTAAAAGAAACACAGTCCAGACATAGGCTAAAACAAGGCCAAATGTGGGCTGTCAGTGAAAACTTAATAGATGTCTAAACCATGGCCCAAGAATAGACTAGTGATCAGTTAGATAACAAAGATATGAAATGAGTGGAGAAATGAAACCAAACACCTTGTAATCACTGTTTACTTTGCTTACATGATGGAATATCATACATCTCGCAAGTTATTTTGGCAAAAACGACGTGTAACCAAATTCAAGGTTATTTTGGCTAGAAGTGGCTTAATCATAGCCGGACTATATAGTTACAGTAACCTAGACGGTGAAATTACGCAATTCCCTGCTGGGATATGCCATAGTTTACACCAGTCACAATAAATAGTTTACATTTAATAAATAACATACAGTGATTCACTGTATCTTTTAATACCATTATAACTTTTGATTGGTAGTGAATCATATTTTGTACACTTCTCAATCTGAAAATGCTGGTCCTAATAAACTTTTTGTCCCCTGCAGTTGGCAGCCAAACTTCTTAAACATGGAAAATACTACAGATTACATGTACCCTTTTTTTATGACTCCCTGCCCGGACAACTTTCAGCATCTGAACAGCACGGCTTTGGTCGTAGTCTACATCGTCGTCTTCTGCCTGAGCTTGCTGGGCAACACTGTGGTGATATTCGTGGTGTTTTGCATGGAGAACCGCAGGACGTCTACTGACGTTTACCTGATGCACCTGGCCATAGCCGACCTGCTCTTTTCTTTGACCCTCCCGTTCTGGGGCGCATACCTTCACGCCGGCCACTGGGTGTTTGGCACGGTTATGTGCAAACTGCTATCAGGCATACAGGAAGCCACATTTTACTGCTGCGTCTTCCTGCTGGCATGCATTAGTGTTGATCGCTACCTGGCCATCGTGAAAGCAACCCAATTCCTCAACCAAAAACGCCATCTGGTTGGCATAGTGTGTGCGTTGGTGTGGCTGTGCGCCATTCTCTTGTCCATTCCCGTTATGTTGAATCGCGATGCTTTCACGCTCGATGGCACTGAGTACTACACTTGTCATGACAATTTGACGGCGGAAAGTATGGACAACTGGAGGTTGAGCCTACGGATTCTCCACCACACTTTGGGATTCTTCCTCCCGCTTGCCGTGATGGTGTTCTGCTACGGTTTCACCGTGTGCACGCTCTGCCGCTCGCGCAACAGCCAAAAGCAGAAGGCCATGCGGGTCATCTTGAGCGTCGTTCTGGCTTTTATCGTCTGCTGGTTGCCCAATAACATCACAGAGCTCTTAGACAACCTGATGCGAGCCGGCCGAGTGACGGAAACGTGCAAGCTGAGGGACGACTTAGACGTGGCCTTGTATGTCACGCAGGCCATAGCTTTCGGACACTGTGCGATAAACCCCATCTTGTACGCCTTCATTGGGAAGAAATTCCGCAACCAGCTCCTGATTTCTCTCTTTAAGAAAGGCATGTTGGGAAGAGGCGTGCTGTCGAAATATCGAGTGGGGTCTGTTCATAGCACTGGGAGCACAAGGCACACGTCAGTCACACTATAGTCAACCGCAGTTCTCTTATGAGGGTACGAAAGCCTTTTGCTTCTGGTAAAGAAATAGTTTAGACAAAAATGCAAATTTGGTCATTATTTACTTATCCTTGTTATAAAGATACAGAGTTTGTAACATCATAGGGGTGAGTAACAGAATTGTTTTTTTTTTTGTTTTTTTAGTAGGCTACACTGGTCTTTTGCTTCCATGTAAACTAAATTTTTTTTTTTTTTTTTTTTTTTTAAGTACAGCAGTTTCATTTACAAGGTATAGACTACACCTTGTTTGTGAATCCTCCTTCTATCTGAATTTCCTGGTGATAATGATCATAATTTTTTTTTGCTTGGCTTGAGGTGACACTGTGGGTTCATATCAAACATTATCTGTGAAAAACACTTTGCAAAGGTTGCAGATTCTGTCAGAACAGAATAACCAATGAAAGTAGAGATAGTCTTTTTATATTTTTTCATCAGTATTTTTACCTGTGTTGTTTTGGGTCAATACGATTTTTTTTATGTTTTTGACAAAAGCCTCTTATACACTCACCAAGGCTGCATTTATTTGATCAAAAATACAGTTAAAACAGTACACTGTAAATATTTGAAGTTCAAAAGAACAGCATTTATTTGAAACATCCATATTTTGTTACATTATAAATGTCTTAACTGTCAATTCTAATCAATTTAATGTGTACATGCTGAATAAAAGTAATAATTCCTTTAAAAAAAATATTAATGACCAAATGTTTGAGCATAGTGTGTTTAAACTTTTTGTTGTTGTTGTTGCTTGTTTCATGGCATGTTATTTTTCTTCTTACTCTAATAATGTAAAAAGCAAATAGCTGTGTTGACTCTGCTTCACTGCAGCTGTAAATAAAGTTGTTTCAGAAAAAATAAAGTTCTTACACTTACATTAAACTCTGTTGAGAAACCAGTCTGCTCTAAGTCGTGCAATGACATGATTTCACTAATGTCTCCACTTCCCCTCGACAACAAAACAGAGAGAAGTGAAGCAACGCATTTTCTTCCTTTACAGGTCACAACCCTAAAAATATTACAACATAATGCACACACAAACAGACATACAAAATAAAGTTATCCTGTATGTGCCACTAAAATACTGATAGTGTTAATAGATTTTATTCTTTAAAAAAAATATATTTTTTATAGCTATGCTGACTAACTGTTAACCAATAAAATGACACCTGTACAAGTGAGATGTTATCCATAGATGTGGTTTGCATAAATAAAGTCTTGAGAAATGGAAACACTTTTGAAACACAATCCAATTCTGTTCACTTCTGTCTTTGTGCATAAACAAACTCTTCTCTGTTCTTAATGCTGTATCACATATACTCTTTATCCTCATTACACCTGTTATGTGTGTGTGTGTGTGTGTGTGTGTGTGTGTGTGTGTGTGTGTGTGTGTGTGTGTGTGTGTGTGTGTGTGTGTGTGTGTGTGTGTGTGTGTGTGTGTGTGTGTGTGTGTGTGTGTGTGTGTGTGTGTGTGTGTGTGTGTGTGTGTGTGTGTGTGTGTGTGTGTGTGTGTGTGTGTGTGTGTGTGTGTGTGTTTGTTTGTGTGTGAATTAAGACAAGGGAGGTCATTTGTTTAAAACCACTGCCTTTTAACATTGGTGGTTATATAACATTGGCCGCAATAATAATAATAATAATAAAATCTAAAATAACTTTAATCAAAAACTAAACTGACATAAAGTGTTAATGAACTAATAAAAAAAATCATTTAAAAAAAATTGTTTTCAGAAGTGTACAGGATGTGGCTTCACACCTTTCTTTCCATTGTATTCAGCTTATAAAAATAGACTAAAAGAGGGTGGTTGGAAAACAAGACACAAGAGCAACTGCAGTAGATAAAATGTCTATTTTTTTGTTTTAGTTTGTTTACCGATTGTGATAGTCATTATAGTCATGAGGATAAAATAGTGAATAAAAATTTTAAATATAACAAATACTCAATAGACCTCTGCTGGGCCTTTTCAAAATGGAGCCTGTATGTGAGTGTCCCACTTCCGGTCCTGAGAGATAATGCCAAGGAACGTGAATGACTCCACTGCTTCACAAGTGCTCTCCATAATGGTGTCCACAATCATCTCCACTGTTTTTAGTGTTCAGCTCCAGGTTGTTGTGACTGCACCAGACAGCCAGCTCTTTAACCCCCTGTCTGTAGGCAGACTCGTCACCGTAGCAGCCTTTCCTATCATTTCCCCCTGGCCAAAACTGGTTTTGAGAGGGCCAAGTGAAGTTTCATAACTTCATATATTTTTAGGCTATTGTAGCCTTCTAGTCAAGTCAAGTCACCTTTATTTATATAGCGCTTTTTACAATACAGATTGTATCAAAGCAGCTTCACAGTGTGATAACATGAAAATAATACAACAAAGTTTGTTTCTAGAAGAAAATTGCATCAACGTCCACCTTAAGTTTTTTTTTTTAAGTAAGGCAGTGTTGTGTTCTCTATTGCATTGCTATAATGTTCATGTCCACTAGGTGGCACTGATATGTTGAGATGTAAAAACTGATGAAGGAGAAGAAGGAGAAAGTAAAAGAAATGCTAAGCTACTACTCGCGTCTGTCTGGTTTATATACATTCATCCTTCAATATAACAAGTGGCGACGAGGATGTTAAGATGGCCCTGCTCTCTCTACAACCCCCCGTAGCATTCCTGGAATGCCCAGGTGAACCGAAACTGTCCTTTGATGCGTGGGAGAAGTTATTTCAGAATTACCTGCTCGCGATCGGCGGAGAAGAGTTTTCTGCCGAGAGAAAGAGAGCACTGTTGATACACTGTTTAGGAACAGAAGGGCAACGAATCTACAATACATTGCCTCTTACCGCTGATACCTACGATGGATCGTTACAAGCACTGAAACAGTTTTTTTCTCCTAAACTGAATGTGGTTTCAGAGAGATATCGCTTCAGACAACGCGCTCAAGCCGTGGGTGAGTCCACTGATCATTACGTTGCAGCACTTCGTGAACTAGTGAAAACATGCGCTTTTGGTAATATTGAGCATGAAATGATCCGTGATCAGATTGTGGAAAAAACGTCCATGCCTCGAATTCGTGAAAGACTGTTACTAGAGCCAGAGTTAACCCTTGACAAGACGATAGCTATTGCAAGACAAATTGAAGCGGCAGTAGCAGACGCAAAAGTCATAGCTGAAGGGGAATCAAAACAAGTTGCAGCGATTCAGCGGCAAGAAAAGACGCGAATGCACAAAAATAAAACGAGGATTAAGTCGAAGGAGGATAAGCGTGTGAAGGGACAGCAGCAGTGTTACCGCTGTGGTTCTGCTAACCACCTTGCAAATGATAAGTCCTGTCCTGCTAAAGACTGCAAATGTAGAACATGTGGAAAATTCGGACATTTCTCAAAGGTGTGCAAGACAGCATCAAAGTCAGTTAATGAAGTATGCTTGCCTGAAGTGACAGTGCTGTGTGTGAATGATTGCCATACAGATGATGGAGCTCCAGTGGGTACTTTTACCATAGTTACGCCCACATCTCCTACACAGACCTGTACCATTAGGATGATGGTGGATACAGGGTCTGGTGCATCAATTCTACCGCAACACATATTCAAAGAATACTTCAGCTCATGTGTTCTGACACCACCGAAAGTGCAGCTTTTGACGTATTCTAAGGAAAACATACCGGTGTGTGGTTCCCTGAGACTGAATGTGACATATTACGGAAAGACTGTTGCTGGTGAGTTTAACATTGTCAAAGAAGGAACTCCTCTCATTGGACGTGACTTATGTAAAGCACTGGACATTGAGATTAAGGGTGGTACCTTGATTGAACCTGCTACTCACTGTGCAATGCTTCAACCATCCAACATTTCACTTGTTTCTGCTGATAGTCCTGTTTCCATACCAACTGTCGCTGGATTTGGATGTGCTAAAAATTTCACACACAAAGTGAAGATCCGCTCTGGAGTTAAACCTGTACAACAAAAACTCGGTCACTTACCTTTATCAGTGCGAGCAGCAGTGTCAGACGAACTCAAGATGCTGGAGGAGAATAGCATAATTGAGAAGATTGATTCATCTGAGTGGGTTTCTCCTATCGTGGTAACAAAACGAAAGAACAACACAATTCGCATGTGTGTTGATTTACGAGAACCTAACAAGGCTGTGGTACAAGACAGTCATCCTCTACCACTGATCGAAGACATACTGTCGGAATTGCATGGATCAGTGATGTTCTCTTCTCTTGACCTCAAAAATGCATACCACCAAGTACAATTACACGAGGAGAGTAGAGGACTCACTGCTTTCATTACCCATGAAGGCCTATATCAGTTTTGTAGAGTACCATATGGACTGTGTTCGGCACCATCTGCTTTTCAACGAATGATGACCATTATCTTAACAGGCCTTGACGGTGTACAGTGTTACTTGGACGATGTGATTGTCCATGGTGCATCCGAAGTCATTCATAATGCGAATCTCAAAGCTGTTCTGCACAGGATTAGTGAAGCTGGGTTGAAACTGAATACAGAAAAGTGTAAGTTCAACTTGACGACACTTAGCTTTCTTGGATACAGACTCTCAGCTGATGGCCTGCACGCAGATGATACTCATGTTACTGCAATAACAAATGCACCCCCTCCTACTGATGCAGCTAAACTACGGTCGTTTCTGGGCCTTAGTGCCTGGTACAGTAAGTTCGTGCCTGCCTATGCTACTCTGGTTGACCCAATGAGAGCATTACTCCGTAAAGACTGTGAATTCCACTGGACTGCTGCAGCACAAGAAAGTTTTGATCGAGTTAAACAGGCAATAGTGGATAGTCCTGCTCTTTCCTTGTTCAACCCCAATCGCAGCACAATCCTCTCATGTGACGCCTCAGACTATGGTGTGGGTGCTGTCTTGACTCAGTTGGATGACACTGGAACAGAAAGAACCATTGCTTTTGCCTCACGTTCCTTGTCTGAGGCTGAACGAAAATATTCCATCGTCGAGAAGGAAGCACTGTCATGTGTCTGGGCTGCAGAGAAATGGCGTACATGGCTATGGGGAAGAAAGTTCCTATTACGCACAGACCATCAAGCTCTTACTACTCTTCTCACGAGTAAAGGGAATAGTCGAGCTGGGTTACGTGTTGCTAGATGGTCTGCACGGTTAATGGAGTTTGACTACAATGTTGAATACAGGCCTGGTCCATTGAACAGTGTTGCTGATTGCTTATCAAGATTGCCGCTCACTAACAATGAACATGACTTTGCGGAAACCATTGAGTCTGTTGCTCTGATTTCATTTGCTTCCAGCGCAATCACCAAGGAAGATTTCCAGTTTGCATGCAACAACTGCCCAGTGTTCTCTAAACTGTGTACATATCTACAGACACGTTGGCCAAAGAACATGAAGAATGTTGATCCGGACGTACAGGGATACTTTCCTGTCCGACATGAGCTCGCTGTCGTGGATGGATGTATTGTCAGAGGAACATACCGTCTCTTGGTACCCGAGTCACTACAGAAGAAACTTATAGAACTGGCACATGAATCACATCAAGGCATGGTCCGTACAAAGCAAAGACTTAGGCAATTGTACTGGTGGCCAAAGATGGACAACCAGACGGAAGCCCTGATACGAAACTGTCAGACGTGCAAACAAAACGACAAGTCTGCTGTGACTCATGATGCTCCTCTCAACCCTGTTGAATTGCCTTCTGCTGCATGGGAAAAGGTCGCTATTGACATTGTCGGACCATTCGAAACTGCCCCGGTAGACTGCAGATATGCAATTACGCTTGTGGATTACTTCAGCAAATGGCCAGAAGTCACTTTTGCGTCTAGAGTTGACACGTCTACTGTTAAACAGTTCTTGATTACTGTTTTTACTAGAGAAGGAAATCCAAAGGAGTTGGTCTCAGACAATGGGCCTCAGTTTATCTCGGCTGAGTTTTCTGAGTTTCTGAGAGAGAGAAATATACGTCATTTCAGATCTGCTGTTTATTATCCACGTGCGAATGGAGAAGTCGAGAGGTTCAACAGAGTTCTGAAAGATTGCCTACAAACTGCTTCAATCCAACGAGAACCTTGGAAGATGTTCACTCAAACATTTTTGATGGACTATCGAAGTACTCCTCATGCTACTACAGGAGTTACACCATCTGAGTTACTCCATGGTAGATGTATGAGAACCAAGTTACAAATCATGGACTTTCCGGTAAGAGAAACTGACAGAAACGCGATACGAGAACATGTGAAAATGAAACAAAGCAAGGTTAAGCTTTACACTGATGCCAGGAGAAATGCAAAAACTTCAAGATTCCGACCTGGTGATCTAGTTCGAGTTAAGAAACCTTGGATGGTAAAGAAGGGCGACCGGAAGTTCACACAACCAAAAGCTGTGGTACAGAAGAAAGGTGAAGATTCTTACCTTCTTGATGATGGTAAGGTATGGAATGCCTCACGTCTTGCTGAAATGCCGAAATCAAGTGAAAGTGTTACTCCTACTGAGGCGCAACATGGAACAACAACAAGTCCGTTGAATAGGTCTGTTAGAGTTCGACAACAACCCGTTTGGACCAAGGACTATGTTTTAGATATGTAAGGAAATGAAGAACTTGAGATAGCAGAGGTGATATTTGAATGAAAAAAACACGAAAAGTTAAAACCAGTTATTTCGTTGTTTTAAAAAAATTTGTTTATTCTTGATTTTGTTTATTTCTGTTGTGATATAAAGCTGGATTCTTTCTGAAAAGGGGAAGATGTTGTGTTCTCTATTGCATTGCTATAATGTTCATGTCCACTAGGTGGCACTGATATGTTGAGATGTAAAAACTGATGAAGGAGAAGAAGGAGAAAGTAAAAGAAATGCTAAGCTACTACTCGCGTCTGTCTGGTTTATATACATTCATCCTTCAATATAACAGGCAGTAAGGCAGATCAATACCGTATTTTCCGCACTATAAGGCGCACTTAAAAGCCTTTCATTTTCTCAAAAAACGACAGTGCGCCTTATAATCCGGAGCGCCTTATATATGGATGGTGAACACACGTTCACCAAGACGGGGAGACAGCGCCGGGGCGACTTACGCCACTATCTGCCAATGGATCGTGGATGCCTGGGCTGATATATCAGTCTCAAATGTGATCCGAGCTTTCACGAAGGCAGGAATAATCTCTTTATTCAGCAAGCTCCATAGACAGTAAAAGAAATGGACATCGACCCCATAGACTTCAACGGAGAAAAGTGAAGTCAAATAGAAGCACTCACTTCCTGATTGCCAAGCGCACTGCGCATGCTCAAACTGAGCTTGAAGACGTAGTTGTGACGTGAGCAACCTGACTGACAGTTGTACGTCTTCTAGTAGCGGTGCCAAGAGGAATCTGAATCATTCCCTTCTGAATCTTGCAGAGCCGGAGATCGTGAGTATTAGCCGTCCATGAGCTCGCAGCAGGAGCAACTTTATGACTCTCTATGGGCTTCTCCCTTGACTTTATGCCTCCACGTCCCCCGATTGCGCGTGAGCTTCTACATCTGTCTTTACGGTCATTTCTCTTCTATGCGACAGAGAGTCGCATGTTACGATGCAATCGTTAGCCTATTTTTACAAAAACGGCTTCTACGGGGCCACAACGTAAGATACAAGGTAATGGAGCATTTTATACATTGTCGTGTTTCTTTAGAAATAAATAATGGACAAATAAAGTCTTTAAACGTCTAAGATGTAAAGTTATTCGCTGTCAAAGTGACGCAAAAATGAATGGGAGTCAATGGAATGCTAACAGCAGGTGAAGGCTTGTTAGCCAATGGCGGCGCCCGGGGAGACTTCAGTTTCCGGCTGGTGGATTAGCCCCTTGGCAAGCTCACATACCCGTATTTACTTCCTGTTTTCGGTCAAAGTCCACAGAAGTCGATTGTCGAGTTCGCGCGCGCGCGATTAAACCTCCTCCGTGTGTTCAACATCTGATTCGGATGAACTATCCATTTGAGCTGATATTCTCAGAACACCACACAGCACCGTCATCGACTGACAGTCTGAGTCTCCACTGTTGCTTAGTTAATCATGATCGCGCGCGCGCACTCGACAATCGCCTACTGTGGACTTCGACCGAAAACAGGAAGAAAATACGGGTATGTGAGCTGGCTGAATAAACATCATTTTTATTCATGTCTTTCACATTTACTGCAGTCAGATTCACCGTATTCACTCACATGGCTGTGCACTTTTAATGACACATTAAGGTTGTTAAGAGGCTAAAAGCAGGTTTAAAACTTGTCCCGTTTAAGTCAACTTTAAAAAGAGGATAACACGGTGTAGGCAACACCAGTTTTTGACGTTGTTATCTGTATTGACAGCACTCCAAATTTACAAAAAAATGAGCTCAATGTTAACATTGACCGGAGTTCTCCTTTAACATTTGAACAACGTTACCATGGGAGTGAACGGAGTTGTCAGAACGCTTAATAAAGTTTGACTTTATCTGACTGTTTTGTTGACATTCCCTTTAGCACATCTAGTGGATGCATAACGCAAACCGAGTCAAACGTTTGACTGCAGTATCTTATGCGCCTTATAATCCGGTGCGCCCTATATATGAAAATTTTTCTAAAATATGTCATTCATTGAAGGTGCGCCTTATAATCCGGTGCGCCTTATTGTGCAGAAAATACGGTAATATTGTTGAATATTAAATGTCCCCAACTAAGCAAGCCTAAAGCCAAGGCAACAGTGGCAAGGAACCAAAACTCCATCAGGAGACAGAATGGAGAAAAAACCCTTGGGAGAACCCAAGCTCAGTCGGGGGCCAGTTCTCCTCTGGCCAACGAAGGAGCAGTGTATGATTTGGGCAGCGTTACAAGTCAGATTTGATAGGAACATTTAGGGTATTTATCCATTTCCATCTGTTTGGAAGTCGAAGTAATCACGCCGGAATGGAGAACGATGTATTTGACTGAATTGTTTGCTTTATTTCTTATTATATCTTCTTTTTCTTACACTTTTGTAATCGCTATAATTATTGATAATTAAAACTGACATTTAACAAAAATAGACAGGGTCGTGTTTTATGTCATGTTTCATTTTATTACAGTGAAGATAATCAGAGCACATATTGCCTGAACCACATATTAATATGTTTAATATTTTTAAAATCATGTGTGTCATTCTTTTTTTGTAACAACATTTCAACTGTGTCAAGTTGAGACTGACAAAACACAAACAAGTGAAGCGATATACTTGTTGCCAACTAGAAAAGCCTGCTTTAGGGCATGTCAAAATCTGGGCTGCAAACACAAAGGTCATAGAAACTGGAGACATCCATCTCTGTGCTCTTGAGCATAATCACAATCACAGGTTACCAATGGAAATGTCTCTACAGCTTGTGTCATTCAGAATAAGACATGTTTACTATTCAATTCTATTCACATTTATTTGTAGAGCGCTTTTCACAATACACATCGTTTCAAAGCAGCTTTACAGAAACGAGATCAAGTAATGAAATGTGTTTGTTGTTTTCCATTTCCGAAAAATGCTTTTTGAGAAAGAAAAGGTATAACATACTGTAAAGAATGCACATCCTACAGCTAACTGAGCAGGCAGTAAAATATTTATTATTTCCCAAATATATTTCCCCAAGTATTCTTGTTATTAGGTGCATTTGGAGATTAGCTGCAGATAAATGATTTATTTGAATTTTTAGACAAACAGGAAAGTAGGAAAGTAATGCAAGAAAATTCTAAGACCTCGTCCTCATAACTGTTTTCTCATGAATATTCTGCAGCAGAAATACTTGATAACCATATATATGATCAGGATTATGAGTGCCACGGCAGAAAGCAGGAACAGTATGACATCAACAGAGTGGTAAGAGTACCAGGGCATTTTATGAGACTCTGTGTGCAAGTGAGCGGCACCTTTGTGCCTCATAACAAACTCAATCCAGAAGATGGCGTAGTCCAGGGGCTTCACTGGGACGTCCTTGTGAAGCCTTGAGAGCTTCTGCATGTTCTCCCGATAAGAGGGCTCATAAAGAACCTCTTTAACAGTTTTAAGAAAGGAGTCTTTATCCACTGTGGCAAAGTCTACATTCTTGGCTACACCCTTTACTCTCATTTTTACAAGATTACTAGGCTGGTCAAATATCAGCCCAAGTCCAATGATTGGCACGCCGTGGTAGATGGCTTCTTGAACTCCATTGGTTCCTCCATGTGTCACAAAGGCTCTGGTCTTAGGATGACCCAGAAGATCATTCTGAGGCATCCAGTCCATCAATAAGGTATTGTTCCCTAGTGCAGATGGTCTCTTTCCTATGTACCTCCAGATGATCTTCTGTGGAAGTTCTGCAAAAGCTTCAGCAATTGCCTCAGCTAAATCATCAGGAAGCTGACCGAAGAAAGTGCCCAGAGACATGATGATGACACCATGCTCACCAGAGCTCTCCACAAAGTCCTCCAGGTCCTGTGGAAGAGGCTTTGGTGGCTTGCACTGAAATCCACCAATGTAGATAATGTTTGGCATAGTGGGACGCGGGAATTCAAAAATAAAATCAGCTCTATGGAGCCACAGATCGGCACCCTGAAGTAAAGAAAAGTAGGATGTTCCTGGGCCAATGAAACGCTCACAAAGTGCATTATAAGTTGGCGTAATCAGAATAGCTAGCTGTATTTCTGGAATGATGTACATCGCAACATTCTTCACTCTTTCCAAGAAACTCATGCGGTCTGATAACTCCAGCATTGAAGCAGGAACATAAGAAAGTGGTGAAGGAGCTATTGCAAAATGAGCCTCACTGTAATCTGTCCAACGGACATTGTAGACAATGGGCAGTTTAAGATAATGACCCAACATAACACCTCTAAACATGGCTGGATCTGTTAGAATCATATCATATTTGGCATCTTTTAAGGACTGCATTAGCTGCTGGTCTTCAAACATGTTGATTATTATCTTGTTTTCTTCTTCAACCATCCATAAAAAACTTTTCCACATAATCATCTCCAGCTTCATCCGAGCCCAAATCGAATCCTCCCTCATAATTCCCAGTAGTCTGGATGCAAATGTCTCGAGGAGTTCTTCACTAAATACTCCTTCACACTTGAGATTGATTGATGTGTAGTGAGGTGAGAATTCTTTGATGTTCCAGCTGCCTTCTATCCGAATGACTGTAACATTGTGACCTCTGGCATGAAGTGCTTCAACCAAGATGTTCATGTTGACCCAGTGACTGCCACCCACAGGAGAGACAAGAACCTTCCCGCTCTGAACAACTAGAACAGTCGTCAGAAGGAGGGTTAGCATGATTGGCCCAAGCACCTGAGAAACCTGTCCATTCGTAGTACCTGTATCGCAAAGGAGGGAAAGAAAAGATAAAAACGAAATGTAAATAATAATGGTTAAGATACTGTAACGGTCACCAGCTGGAGTGCCCTTGAGAGCCACCAGAGGCCACTCCACATCAGGCTATTGTCATTCCCTCACAAACTACATCTCCCATAACTCACTGCCCTGTCTTCATCCATTATCACATTCCCCTGTGTCTCATTATTTTGTTTAGCTCACCCCATATAAGCCTGGTTTTCTCATTCATTATCTGCGAAGTCTTGTATGTTTAGTGTTACACTGCAATTCCAAGCATTCACCCTGCTTCATGTCTCTTGGTTCTTGGATTTCTTGCCTGTTCCATGGATTACTCTTTGGATTTTCCCTGCCTTGTTGTGTTTGTTATTGTTTGGACGGTCACGGTGTTGATGACCTTTGCCTATTTTCGACTACGATTGTGGATTACCCTTTCAATAAATACCACATTTGGATCCTTAACCTTTGTCTCGGAGCAGAATGTGACAGATACCGTATATAAATTGTTTTTCTTAAAAAAAAGAGACAATACCCATTGAAACTGAATCTATAGAGGTAATACTGTATGTAGAGGCAAATTTCAGTATATAAAACAATGAAATTAATTGCATAAACTCCAAAAAAAAAGCATTATTGGCAGCTCTAATTTATACAGGACCCATATGTATTTCAATAGGGAAACATTCAAATTATACAATTTGAATCACAATAAAAAATCACAATAAGAAAGACTGCATCTTTTCAAGTGAAAAAAAATCCTCACCCATCATTGTGTATAATGGAAAATCTGTGTAATAGTGCAAATCATCCAACTGCAAGCACAGCCTTTGTCCTTGCTATGCATGTCAACATCTAAGTGAAGGTTCATATAACAAGCTTTAAAAGGCACAGCCAGTGCATTTACCTTTTTAAAGATCTAGTTAATCAATAACTAATCAACAGGGGCCGGTTGGGTCGGCAACCTATGGCACGCAGAGGGGTATCGCTGGCACCACGTGAGCAAAAGTGAGAGTGGTGTAATCATTTCATTCAGATAAAGTCATATCTCCATACAGATCTACATTTTGAGGTAATCATTCATCATTGTAACACATTGTTTTATTCAGTTAGGAGTTATAAATACTATTAAAGTGTGAGAATTAAAGTCAGTGAAAGCGCGCAGCTCTGATAAACCATTAGCGCGACCACTGCGCATCACAGTTACTGACTGACAGCTTACAACTTGTTCCGCTGTAGGCTACACTACATAGTCAATGCTATACATTTTGGAGATATTCAACCAAGTATATTGAGTCCTTATTAAACATTCTACTCACATCAAAATGACTGTGATGCATGCACTCCTTTCATGCGTAACCTGGTCACTTCACGTGGTTTCTCTGATCGGATAGCTATCCAATCGTGAAAAGACTGAAAGAGAGGGCATTTTTTCCCATTTCAGATAGAACTGGACAAAATGCATCTGGTAGTTGAAGCCAGAAATGTAAATTTTACTCTTCCTAAAATGGTAAAAACAAAACATGTGAGAGCGCTATGGCATCGCCGCAGAGTCGTCGGCCTAGCCGAGCATCTCTTGTGCTAGCCGACGTGCAAACTGCTGCAAATGAAACTGAAAGTTTCGCGTCTCATCCTGAAGCTCAACACACAATCGTCTTCATTAAAAGTAGCACACTAAATGATCTTACCAGTGCTGATGCGCTCTCTCTCTAATTGCGGTCTTTGATCTTATAATTGGCTGATAATAAATAAATTTGAAGTTCGGTGTGAACTTCGTTAAATTTGCATATAGCGCGGGAATTGAAGATTAGATTTGTATTCGTTTTGAGGAGACACAGTTACGTTCCCCAGTGTAAATGTAAGAGTTTTAACAAAACGGATAGGCTAGCTTTCCGATCAGTAAAAATGCATGAATGTCCAGGTTTAAATAGGCCTATTGGAAATCTGTTCTTCAAAGTCTAATTTAAACTATTTTGCTCCTATTTAAGGTCCTGCACCATTTCTATGTTAGCCATTATATTTAAAATATGTTAAAGTGTATTTATACATGGGGTTGGCACAGTTAGGGTTAGTGTAACTTGTGGCACAGTTAGGGTTACCGTAATATATATATACACACACAAGATAAAAAATTGAGGACCACCCTATTTCATCAAGGTTCACCCATTTAACGATCTCTGGCCTCGCCACTTTTATAAACGCTGCAACGTTTAAGAAATAGCCAACATATATGCTTATGTTGTAATTTAAGGAAGTACTTCTGTAAAAGTGTCTATGCAGGATTTCGAAAATATGCTGCAGACACCTGGCAGGCAAGATAAGACACTTTCAAGAAAATGGTGAACTGCAGAGCTTGTGCAAATATACATCGCTATATCAGATGCTTTATTAACTGCCGCTTTCTCACCGCTGTCATTTTTGCGCAGATTTTATTTTATTGAGAGGAAAGCCCGCAAGTTTACATTTCTATTCATCGTCACTCTCAGCAGTGTGGACAGTGTTTGGATGTTTGTTAACAGTATATCGCTGCAAAGGTATTTCCAACTTCTTTTTACTTATAAAATAAGGAACAATTAACGATTGCAAGTTGTTGATTGCAGTTCACTTAACGGCCACTAGTGTCGCTAATAGGGTTTCTGAACTCTACATAGGCTATAGCTTCTTTAAAGGGCACCTATTATGCCCCTTTTCACAAGATGTAAAATAAGTCGACGATGTCCTCAGAGTGTGTATGTGAAGTTTTATCTCAAAATATTATATAATATTATAGATAACTTTCTACAGCATGTTTAAATTGTCACTTTTTGATGCTCAGAAAAACATGCCGTTTTCGTGTGTATCCCTTTAAATGCAAATGAGCTGCTGCTGCCGCTCATTGGGCGGAGCCTCACAAGCTCGCGTTTAATTACGGTTATAATTTATTTGTGATCTGCTTTTATCCACTATTAATACAAGCCTGTTGTAGGACTGGGCAATAAATCGATTTTATCGATTAACTCGAATGTGTAGTTTACGTCGATTTGTTTGAATGAAAATCGGTTTTCTCTTTAACATCCGCCTACGCTCCCCTTTGAACGGGCTCAGCGTTTGCCATAGAGATACACAAACAACATGGCAAATGAACAAGACCTCGGCAGCACAAGCACACCCGCCAAAAACATTTACAAACTGAATCTGAATTCACCTTGACTCACGCAATTGTCACTTTTTACACGCTCTCAACCCACACATCCATTTTCTCACGCAGAGAAAAATCGCGAAACAAAGAGGGCAGAAATCGATTTAAATCGTAAATCGGATTTTTTTTTAAGCCATATCGCCCAGCCCTAGGCTGTTGTAGCGGATCACGTCAGAATGATGGCCAAAAATATACTAATGACTTTAATGAAGTTTATTGTACATCACATAAAAGTTGAAGCGTTAGTTTACTCCAGAAAATCACTGTAAGAACTGAAAAAACACCTTATAAGAAGTGCGCATTAAAGTCTTACACATAAACTCTCTGTCTCCCTTTCATTATATTCAACATTCACAGCGAATTACACAAAACAACCAACAGTAAACAAATATATACACATCTTTTCTGGGGGTGCTTAACTGGTAAACTTTTTATCCGTAAACCGATTCGATGAGCTGTCGTAAAGTGTGCGCTCTCCCTTTCATTACTGCCGTGATCAGAAACGTTAGGCCTATTGCTCCGGAGACTGCAAGCTGGATCACGAACAGTTGATACAGATCCATCCTCGAGTAACAACGAAAGTAGATGAAGATAGCTGTACATCCAACAACAAAACACCTCAATCGCTTAGAAGACATTCTTGTCTACAGCTGCTCCGGCGTGGAAACAATGGCGGACTGTGTACAGCTCACTCAGTCTATGCTAAAACTGCAGTGTCAGTCAACAGTTGTGGGCGGGGCTTGTGCAAAAGTACGTCACATTACCCTGAATCTGATGCTGCGTTCCAGGCAGGTTTTTGAGCACGTAAATCACGACTTCAAATCACGACTCACGACTTTGTAGCATTCCAGGCCAGTCACGCCAAACTACCTGAGCGCAAGGAATTGTGCTAGATGTAAACAAACCAGCATGGCGTACCTTATGGGGCTTATGCGCATTTGTAATAATTTCTGTCACCAAATGTGCTTACTCCTTGTTTATTTGAGGGAAACGGAGGAGGAAAAACGGCGCCTAAGGCCAGATAAGCTGTTATACCTTTTATTTGACTTTATTTGTATATTTGGAAATGTATTTGGTATTAATTTATCCTTGCACTCAATGGACTGAAAACTAGTTAACGTTATATTGTCCTAAAGTGTATTCTCACCGTGTACCGCCTGCAGAAACACGGCACCCGTAGGGGCTGCCATTGTTGTTTTGTATAGTTTCGCGAGCTATATGACGTCAGAGCTCGTAACTGGGAGTACATCAATCTAGTACGAGTTCACGGGTGGGAAGTCACGGGTTTGACTGCCATTCCAGTGCACTTTCATGGGTATAAGGTTGGAAAAACATGGGTTACAGGCCTGGAACGCGGCATGAGAACGGCTTGTTCTGAGACAGTGCTTGTGATTTATGGGGATTTTAAAAAAAGCACTGGGGGGATTTTTATCATTATAGGGTGGATGTGTACACACACTGCCAACATACATTTATGTTCAAACACCATGTAAAAGTGAATTTTGCATAGGCCTAATAGGTGACCTTTAATGTATCAAATAGGATGGGATGTTTTATATTCACACAAAGCAACCAAAAAGCACAAAGCATTGCAGAACTGATTGCTAATGCATACTGATATTTGTATTATTAGTGGTATGATATATTATGCTGTTCCAAGTTTAGCAAATGAAACGGCTCACTTAAAACAGGACAGAACTACAAAAATGGCCAGCACACAATAAACTGCACTACATAGGAATAAGGAGCCATTTCAGGCATAGCTAGTAGCTCTTTTGTTGACAATTGAAAACAATTGCCAAATCAAAATATTGCACATTTTGTTTTAAACATCAATTTGGGGAATAAAGAAGAAACACCTACATATTTGTTTTATATTTTTTCTTGTACATGTTTTCATAGTAGCCTATGTAGTAAGTGTGCATATACCACTGGGGAAATGGCAAGTGAAACGATTTAAAAATAAATGTCCTATGTGTAGTGGGGTCAGGTGAATATAATTTACAGAATATAATAGTGTAGCGGGGAAGGATATTTAGGGGGCACAGGTAACTTCCGGTCGCTCTTAGTTCTGTAGCGGGGAAGGCTATTTAGGGGCACAGGTAACTTCCACTCGCTCTTTGCCGGCTCACGCTATAGTGGTATCACACGACAGGAGCACCAGCACGTGCGTTATAGAGAAGCGAGACGCCAAACAGTGAGCGCGAGCTCAGACGGACGAGTGCAGCATTAGGTGGTTTACACAGCTGGTTAATGAGGAAACGGACGGATTGACTTGTAAGTGTACATATAAATTAAATATATTTTTATTAGAACGACAATAATATAACGAGTGATAATTATTCTCTGGTTATTAGTGTTGCCTGTACAGCATGCACACATCATAGGCTGGATGCAATCGGCGTGATAAGAGGTACGATGATGTTTATAACATTGGGTAGCTGTATATGCATGTATATAATATGTATTTTAAATGTGGGAATGTCTCATAATTGTTTTTCTTTGGCAGGAGACTGTCAGTGTGATTGCCTGTCACTGTTTTTCTTTCACCCTGTAAAGTTGTGGGTCTAATAATCGTTTTGGCTGGATTTCTTTTCTTTTTTTTTTTTTTCTTTTTTTTTTTTCTTTTTTTTTTGGCCCTTTGGGTAAT